TCTCTCTCTCTCTCTCTCTCTCTCTCTCTCTCTCTCTCTCTCTCTCCATCTTCCCCCTCTTTGCACACATACAATTTGCACTGGACTACCACAACGTAACCTTCAAATAAAAAAGTAAAGCAGACAAAATCTGTACTTATTTTTCACTCTTAAATATCTCTGAAGTAATTCTAAATTAATTACCGTACTGCATTGCCACATTGTAAATGCATTTGCCCATTGCATAATCTCAGAGTTTGTATGAAGGCGCTGGTAATCTGAGTCTCCCCACATAAATGTGGTTAAAAATCCACAATAATCTTTTTTTTTTTTTTTACCTACCTCATGCTGCTCTCTCTCCTGTTCTTGTGTTGTCAACGAAATGTAATTTTAAGAATTACAAGAAGTACAGGCCAGGGTGCAGTCATCAACATTATATTTACATATTTATTTTTAAAAATAATGGGTTGCTAGTTTGCTCAGTGGGGTTGTTTTATATTCCCTTAGCTGAATGTGGCTGTGGGCCTATTTTCTTAAAAAAGAACATAAGTTCATCTATATGTAGACTTTGTGGGACAGGGCTTTCCTGTTTCAGTTCACTGTATGAGCTGAGCTTCTTACACAAACTTGTGGCCTAGCCTGGATTAAAACGTTTGCCTATGTCTTCATATTCCCTTCTGTATGATTGCTGTTATCACTTCAAAAATGACCAGACTATCCCTTTAAACTGAAACCTCTGTAATGTAACAAACATTGTGTTAAGTTGTACATTTAAAGTCTCTCAGTTGTTTACTTGAAGTCAAATCCGTGCTTCTATTCATTAATAAGTCCAATCTGCTTCTCCTCCCCCTTCTCTTCCCTCTCTCCCTTCTCTCCCTTGTCATCTTGTGTTTCTCCAAGAAGGTGATGCTTCCTGCGGGAGCGGCRTTCCGGTGGTTCCAGTAGGACTCCTCCACGGCTCCCTACCCAAAGCTCTGCCATCAAGTGCAATGCCAACTCCTGGATTGTCTCCAGAACACAGAACAGACACTGGTTAATAAACAAACTGGCAATGAATAAAGATATAGAGAAAGGAAGAATAATAAAAAAAGAGAAGCAGAAATTTAGAAGAAAAAAAAAACAATCGGATAATAGATGCACCTACTTAATCCTTGAACCAAAAATGAAATGTAAAGAAAAGCATCTATGGCAACTTTTCATTCCCTTTTGTATGTTTCCATTTTGGTACCTTTTTTTTGTTTGTTTTTCTTTTTCTTTCTTTTTCTCTGTTGCTTCAACACAGAACTGCTTGTTGCCAGAAACAGAAATGACGGACTGAGTGTGGACAATCAAACTTATTTCTGTGTTTGGTGTTAATGTTGTTCATGTGTGGAACGATCCAGTACTCACGTAGAGAATGTAAATTTACAGCTATATGACAAGTGGCTAATGGAAAAACATTGTAATTTCTCACCGTTACCTTCCTGAAATCCTCGTCTGTTTTAGGATTCGTTTTCAATGAAGGGGATCGTTTAAAATTTCTTTTTTTTTTGCTGCCAAATTGGTGAAAGAGGTTTAAATTGTGACGTTGTCAGTTTGATACTGAAATGAAACTGAATATTATCATTGGGCAGAGCTCCAGAGAGTCTTCACTGGATTGATGCTGCTTTTTTATAATTTGCCAGAGCTGTCACTACTGTAATCTCCTCAATAAGCCCTCCTCTGCATTTCCAAACTTTAACTTTTTTATTTTATTTTATTTTATTAGTGAAAACTGGCAGCCTTATTTTACTGTTGCCCTACTGAGCAAGTGCCAATACTGCTCCGGGCAATCGCACCAAGAGACAGCACTTGCTACCCTACTGAACGCACTGAGAAAAACATTGCATTTTTAAAAAGTTTGTGTTTTTTTTGTTTTGTTTTTGTTATAAATTTCATGATTTTGTTAAGTTGCAGAGTAGCTATACAGCTTTTTAAAAAAATAACTCAATATTTGTACTTGTTTAGAAGATTGGACTGGTTTTGTGAATAAAAAGGAATGCATGTATTTGTGTCAAATTTTATAGTTCTGATGTTTGTCTAATTGTCCGTTTGCATGTGTTTTTTCTTTTCTTTTTTTAAAACAGTGACTAAATGAAATATTGAGTTTAGTACTTTGTTTTTTTACACAGGTGAAATGAAACAAATGCTCCCATTTTTTCATATGATTGGACGGCATGACAAGAAAATTTCGTACTCCAGCAAAAAAAAATAATAAAAAAAAAAAATAAAAAGGAAAAGAAAAGAAAGAAAGAAAGAAAAGTCCTTCAGGTGGTGGTCCCGATCACCGTGATGTTGGCTGAGATATCGCTCTTGTTGCCTATGTAATATCTTCCTACACTGGAATGATGAAGCCTTGCTGTGCTCAAATGTAACCAAAATGATTTAAAAAGATGTTTGAATAAGAAATCTGATTGCCGTGTTTCTTTAGACTGCATGAAACCTTGTGGGGAGGAAAAAATCCTCCTAAATCTCATTTATTTTCGTGAATTTCTGCTCCTCTGAGGTCTGCGTGACACTCGCCATCCTCGGTGACATTTGTAGTCAGAAAGCACGAGCTGAGACGCAGGAAATCGATGACAGTCACGGGTTACTGATGGGAAGCTGTGTCACTAGTTCCATTAAAGCCATCCTGAGGAAGGCTGAGGAAAGTGTTTAGGACTGTCTAGAAAAGGTTGAAAAAAATATCAATCAGGTTTTAGTCAAATGTTTTGTGAAATATGGAAGTTTCTATTGCCTGTTTAAAAAAAAGTAGTTCAGATTTTTTGAAATTAGGTTCAGTGAAAACAATATGAGCAGTTAATATCTTACCTGTTATGGATAATTCTTGAATGATCTCAGTTAGGAGAAATGGAGTTTAATTCTGATAGGATTGACAAGTTAATGGCTAGTCAGAGTCGGGTCAAGGCTATGGCAGTGCAGTTTTTCCAGAGTGGCCCTTTAAATTAGTTGTTTCTAAATATTTAACTGAATTGTTTGGATGGCAATACAATGTTTCTCAATTTCACAAAGTTTGTCATGACACAATTTCAATTCCATTCACAATTCAGTGATAGATATATCGATCCAGATTTTATAGTGACAATATGGATCAATGTTTTTGTTTTATCATTGATTTAATTGAATTATTAATCATTTAATCAATGTGGATCGATGTATTGTTGCATTCCTATTCTAAACAAATCCTTGTAAACAAAGCCTTGGGCCTCATGCAAGAAACATGTTCGTATTCTTATCCTAAATTTCTCTAACTTTTGTTCGTACATGTCACGTCAGATTCAACAAACTCTTCTCTCTTCAGGAAAAGTGTGTAAATGAGCTGCGTAAACTGATGAATGCGTATCAGGTGTTTGTGCACGAGGAGAGGAGATTAGCATAATTACCACCCTAAAAACACCATATAAGGCTGTGTTTCCTGCCCCACATAACAGGAAGTGTCCATTCATAAATGACATGGCAAAACAAAAAGAAGAACTTTGCGAGTTCGGAGATTGAAGTCCTGCTGTCAGAGATCCAGAGAAGAAAATCTGTCATTTTTAGCAGCGTCAGCTGTGGAATTAAAGGACCTGCTAAATCTGAGGAATAGAATGAGCTGTTAATGCTGTGTCTTCCAAAATAAAAATCTAAATCATATTCAATCTAAATCATATTCTTCTCTCTCTAGTYCYGCTCCAGTTCTCCTTTGGTCAAATATTTTTAATCTAAGTGTAAATAACTGTGTTACAGTTTTCATTTATTCAGAAGAAGAGCAGTCACACACCCCCATACAACAGCATTAATAGCCAACTTAATTTAACCAATTTATGTCGTTAGTCTACATTATTACATTTAAAATTATAATTCCAGTTCAAACAGAATAGACTATTGTCAACATAATTATGGAGTGTGATTTATTTTCAACCCGAAATATCTTCAAACTAATGAAATATAAAATTATCAGTGAGAAAAATCCATCTGATAACAGCAGACTGACTGCTCATAAAATATACACAGGTCACACGTGAATTTTGTTCATATCCGAAAAAAAATATTAGAATACGAGAAAATTGGTGAATGCCACAAATTCTCCTAAATCACACAAATCTGTTTGTACGAATTGTTCTTGCATGAAGCGCATTGTTCAACCATATGGAAACAGAAAACAACACAAAACCCAACTATATGCCCATGTAACCATGGAACAAAAATACATCACAAACAGGAAAGCAGGAACTCAAGATGTAAACAAAACAAAAAGAGGACGCCTGTTAGGTTAGAGGCTAGGTGATGACGTCATTGTTTTCAAAAAGTTGTGTTTTGGTTGTCCGCACAGAATTGCAAAGATGCTGTTTCAAGTTTACTTATTTATTTTTTCCACTTTTGAATATAAAATTCACACTTGTGGCTTCTTAAACATCATTTCCATGTGGACGCCAGGCTGAAAATAAAAAATAAAATTGGACGACCTCTATTGGACTTAACACATTCAGGTAAGATACTCACTGTTTGTACCCTTTCTAATAAAGATCTGAACCATCCCTTTAATTGGTGACTTTTCTTTTTTCCAGTCGCTCCTTTACATCCAGGTAGGGAGCTGATTATAGCGGCTAAAAGTGGTTTTAATTAGCAGCTGTCCGTGGTGGACTGGGTCCAGTGTGGTGCGTTTTGTGTAGTGGCTCCTGATCAGCTCTGAGTGGAGAGCACAGCTATATTCCAAGCCCCTCCACCGCCCCCCCCCACTTCCTCCCCCTAGGTGACAGTGCTGGGCTAGTGCCATCGCCATGGCGATAAGGGGGAGTGTGTGTGTGTGTGTGTGTGTGTGTGTGTGTGTGT